CTCCGTCTGATAAAAGCCATCTATAACAACCGAACAGCCAACATCATGTTAAGTGGTCAAAAACTGAAAGCTTTCACTCTAAAATCAGGAATGAGGCAAGGATATCCACTATCATAATGCCCACTCCATATAGTTCTGGAAGCATTAGCCAGAGTAATTAGACAAGAAAAAGAAATAAAATAGGAAAGGAAGAAGTTATATTATTATTATTTACAGATGACATGACACTCTTCATAGAAGATCTCCAAAACTCCACTAAACACTTGTAGGTTAATAACCACATTCAGTAGCATAGCTGGATACAAAGTCAACACTCAAAACTCAATAGCATTCATGTAGAAAAGAAACAAACTCATAGAGAAAGAAATTAGGGAAACCACATCTATCACAATGACATCCAAAAAATGAAATACTTAGGAATCAATCTAACAAAGGAAGTAAAAGTTCTATACATTGAAAATTACAGTACTCTGAAAAAGTAAATGGAAGAGGATATCAGAACATGGAAAAATATCTCTTGCTCATGAATAGGAAGAACCAATACAGTTAAAACAGCCATACATATTTAATGTATCCCAAAATTTCTATACAGATTTAATGCAATCCCAATCAAAATACCATTAGCCTACCTCACATAACTACAGAAAACATTCCTAAAATTCATTTGGAACCAGAAGAGAGCTAGAATGGCAAAATACAGTTCTTGGCAGCAAAGGCAAGGCAGGGGGCATCACAATCCCTAATTTCAAATTAAACTACAAAGCTACTGTGTTAAAAACAACAACAACAACAAAAAACAAAAAACAAAACAAACAAACAAAAAAAACCCAGACCTGAAGATCAGTGGAACAGGTTAAAAAATGTAGAAACAACTTCAAACACACTCAGCCACCTTATTTTTGGCAAGGTGCTAAACACATTCAGTGGAAGAAAGACAGCCTCTTGGATAAAAGGTGCTGGAAAAACTGACTTTCCACATGCAAAAGACTAAAACTAGACCTATGTCTACTGCCATACAGTAAGCTAAAATTGAAGTGGATCAAAGATCTAAATATTAAAAGAGAAACACTAAATCTGCTGGAAGAGAGGATAGGCAGAATTCTTGAGGACATAGGAGTAGGCAAAAATTTCATGAACAAAACCCTTATCCCACAGGAAATACTACAGAGAATCAACAACTGGGATCTCATCCTACTGCAAAGCTTCAGCACAGCAAGAGAAATCACCAATGGAGTGAAAAGACAACCCACTGAGTGGGAAAAATTACAACCAGCTGTCCCTCAGACAAAGGACTTCTATCTAGAATATATACAGAAATTTTAAAAATCAGACCTCCCAGATTCAAAGACCCAATCCAAGAATGGGCATCTGAGATGAATGTACACTTCTTAGATGAAGAAATACAAATGACAAATAAATATATGAAAAAATGTTCAACATCACTGGTTAGTTGAGAGATGCAAAATAAAACAATGCTGAGATTCCATCTCACCCCAGAAAGAATGACTATCATCAAGAAATCAACCAATAACAAATGCTGGTGGGGCTGTGGGGATAAAGAAACTCCTCTCTACTGTTGGTGGGAGTGTAGACTGGTGCAATCACTGTGGAAATCAGTATGGAGATTCCTCGACAAATTAGGATTACAGGTACTGTTAGACCCAACCATACCCTTTTTGGGTATTACCCCAAAAGAATTAAAAACATCGTACCACAGTGATATATGCACACCCATGTTTATAGCAGCACATTTTTTAATAGCTAAATCTTGGAAACAACCCAAATACCCATCAACTGAGGAATGGATAAAAAAGATGTGGGGTTTTTTTAATATAACAGAGTACTACTCAACCATAAAGAAGGATAAACCTTAACCATTCCTAGGTAAATGGATGCAACTTGAGACCATACTGTTAAGTGAAATAAATCAGATTCACATATATAAATATCACACTGTCTCCCTTGTGTGAGAAACTGAAAGAGTAAATAAGGACCAAAAAGTACAATAGATATTGTGAAATGCAAATAAATTGTTCAAAAGGAAAGAGGAACTAGGGAAGGGAAAGGTGGAATGGAAGGAATGGAAAAGGAAAAAAAACGATAAAAAAGGATAAAATGGAAATAAAACTTTGTAAATAGGGAGAGAAAGAGGGGTTGAAGGGAAAAGGGGATTGCAGAAAAAATAGGAACCAAAATATATTATGTACAGGTACAAATTCCTGATAATGAATATGATCATTATGTATATCTAAAATGTACCAATAAACTTAACTAAAAAACTAGACACAGAATAATTGCACGTACTTACAATTTACAATGTGATATTTCCACACATGTGTATAGTGATGAAGTCAAAGCAGAGAAAGATCCAACCAAGAAAGAGATCTACAGACCAACCTCCCTAATGAACATAGATGCAAAGATACTCAATAAAATACTAGCAAATAGAATGCAGCAAATCATCAAGAAAATCATACACCATGACCAAGTTGGATTATTCCAGGAATGCAGGGATGGTTCAATATACGGAAATCAATTAATGTACTATACCATATCAATAGAGCCAAAGACAAAAACCACATGATCATCTCAGTAGATGCAGAAAAAGGTTTCAACAGAGTCCAACATTCATTCATGATAAAAACACTACAGAAAATAGGAATAGATGGTCTTTACCTCAATCTGATCAAAGCCATCTATGACAAGCCAACAGCCAACATCATACTAAATGGTCAAAAACTAAAAGCTTTTACTTTAAAGTCAGGAACAAGACAAAGATGTCTACTGTCACCACTCCTGT